GGAACATCTCCGCCGGGGAAATAAGGAGCATAAGGGAATGTAATCCTGCCAGAAGCCTCTCCCCTGTTTATTTTCCTCTTCCCACATCCATGCTGGCAACTTCGGGGAATAATTTAACATAAAGATGAGCAGGGAGAGCAGAGGCAGTTGCAGCACGGCGTGAAGGTAACCTTGAGCTGAGCCCTATAAACCCCGGCCTCCGTCAAGGCAGGATTAAAGAAACTTTCCTGGCAATGCAGAGCTGGGAATCCCAGCCTGGCACTGGGAATTGCAGCCTCGGGGTGCCCGCACCCAGCCTGGCCCTGGCCCACTGCACCTTCTCATCTGGTGAGTGCTGAATCCTTCCTTCCTCTGGGAATTTACCCGGGAGTTATCCTCCATAAGGGGCTGTCCCTTCCCTGGCCTTGGGAATGAGCTCTCCCTTGGAATATCCGAAGCTGTTGAGCTCCAGGGAATCCTCCAAGACAGGATTTGTTAGATTTTTTTTTAATGTATGTTATGATATTATAGCTATTCTTAGCAATTATTGTGGTTTTATATAGATTGTATTACATCTATTTTATATATTATTAGCAGATGTTACGGTTTTATATTTATTATTTTCTTATCTATATTATTAGCCACTACCGTGGTTTTTATGTACATTACATTAAAATATTCCACATATTGTTATTAGGCCCAGGGAGAATTCCCCAGAGGGTTTTGCTCTGTTTTTTGGGATGCCTTTCCCAAATCCTGGTGCTCAAGGACCCGAGTCCAGCTGCAGCATCAGGGCTGCAGGTGCCTGGCTCCAGTGGGGCTCATCCACATGAATATCCCTGTGTTTTAGGGTCCTTGATGTTTGGGGTCCTGGCAGATGGGAACCCCACACCCACCTCTGGTTCCTCTTAGGGACTTGGGGATGGATTTTCTCTCCCAGGGAAAAACTCCATTCTTCTGGGGGATTTTTCCCCATGGAAAGCTGGGACGAGCCTCAGCAGCTCCGGAGTCACAATTCCCATGGCTGAGGCAGGGTCCAGGAGTGCTCAGCCCCAGTCCTGGGAAAATCTCTGCTTCTCCCGACCCCCTTGGACCAGCAGGGACTCCCTGAGCAGAGCAGGCAGCTCTGGGGTGGGAAGTTGTCCTTCCCAAAGTGTTGGCTCTCTCCGGAGCCAGGAGCTCCTCCTGGGACTGGGGAAGGAGCGTGGGACAGGAGGATCTGCTCCTGCTGAGGGATGAGCCATGGGAATGGCAGATCCTTCCCAAACCCGGCCTCCCTCTCCCTCGTGCTGCAGGATGAGGGGAAAGAAGGGAATCAGCTCTCCTGGGAAAGGAGGTTTTGAAGGAAGTGTTGCACGAAATCCTCCTTCTCACTCCATTAATGTCCGTGTGGGCTGCGCGAGGCATTGTCTGCTGCTGGAAAAGCTCGTTAGTTAATTGCCCCAGTGCTGCTGTAATCCCAGATTAACGAGGGCTGAGGCAAATCTCCATGGAGCAGACCTGAGTGTGGGATTTATGGGGAGATTGGATTCTGCTCTTCCCTACCTGGGGAGTCCATGGGGGCTTCATCCTGGCCTGGACGTGCTGGGTGCTCCCATGGGGGGGTCACCCTTCCCAAATCCCCCCTGACGGTCCCCCTGGATCCCATCGGGATGGGATTTAGGCAGGTCCTGCTGGGTGCACTTGGGACAATCTCCTGTTGGTGTTTCTCATCAGCTCCCATCGATCCCAGAGCCGGGACTGGGCTCTGGTGCTCACAACCTCGGGATCAAACCCTTTGGCTGCTGCGGGGTTTGTTCCTCCTCGTTAAATTAAGCACATGGAGGAAAACAGCAGCATCCTGGTTTTCTCTGGAATAAGGAGCTGCCAGCACGGGATGTGCTCAGGAATGCTTTTCCACAGTGACAGGGACGTGCAGGTGGCCATGGATGGAGTGGCCAGAGGATTTGGGGAGGATGAGCAGCGCAGGCAGGGCCGTGCATCCCGCAGGGGTGGCTGCCAGCCCCGGCACTGCCTCTGGAAAAGTCCATCCCGTGTATCCTAAACCCTCTTCTCCTCCGGGATTCGGCAGCTCCGGCTGGGGGGAGCTTTGCTGAGCCAGCAGCTGGCTGGGATCCAGCTGTGCTTCCCTGGGGAACAGCCCCGGCCTTCCTCCTGCCCTCCTCCTCCTCCTCCTCCTCCTCCTCCCGCTCCCTGGGATGCACATCCCGGCTGCCCAAGCCTGGTTGAAAACCGTAACTGGATTTTGCAGGCTGGGCATGAAACCCCCGGAACGTGAGACATTTAAACTCCTTCGGTTAAACCCTGTCACAGACACTCGGCGTCCTCTGAAGGAATTACATCACCTTTCCAAGGGCTGGAGCGCCGGGAGGGTGGGAAAAAACGGGAGAGGGAATCTGGGAGTATCACCGAGACCCCGCCATCCGGGGTGGCTTCTCCCAAATACCGCCGTGTGTCACCCAAAAATAGGGAATTATCGGGGAAATGGAGATTTCTCAGCCCTGGGCGCAGGGATGGGGGTGATGCCCGCAGCAGGAATGCTCAGGGAGGGATGCTGGAAGCCGGCAGGGATGTGGGGGGGGAAGGCTGGGATCCTGCTCCCCAGCACCCAAATTCAATCACCCTGATCCTACAGGAGGGAGCTTCCCGCTCCTTTCACAGCCCCACCCAAAATCCCCCGGGCAGATGGGATAATGCTGCTGCAGAGAACTGGATCGCCCGGACCCCTGGGGTGGCGGCAGATTAATTAATTAATGAAAATGCTAACGATGCTGGGAGGGCAACACCGAGTCCCACAGCTGGATCCCCGCTGTGCCACCTCATTTCCATCATTCCACAATTCCCTGGACCCTCTCCCTGGAATCTCAGCAATCCAGGGCTATTTCCTCCCCTATTTCCTTCCCTGCCTTCGGCAGTGCCGGGTGCTTTTTAAATGATTCATGACTTAAACCATTTTCCTTTATGAGCTGCTTTTCACACTTGTGAGGGGAATTCAGCCTCCAAGAACCTGGAACGAGCTTTGATGGAATTGTGGGTGGAGGAGCAGAACGTGAAGTAAAAACTCCCGCATTTTCAGCTCCACTTGGGCCATTGTGGAGGAGAATATCCAAGCAAAGGAGCAGAGCCATGGAGATGGAATTACCTGGGAATTAGTGGCCTGGAGGCAACAACTTTTCTTTGCTTCTGGGGGCTGGAGCAGCTTGATCACCCCAGCTGGGATTGGTTTTGGGATTCTCTGTACCACAGCAAAATCCCACCACCACCATGGTGATCCCACCCCGTGCCAGCCTGTGGCTGTGGGGTTTGGGTGGGGATGAGCATCATTAGGGCAGGAATCAGCATCCCTTGGGCAGGAATCAGCATCCTTAGGATAGGGATAAGCATCATTAGGGCAGGAATCAGCATCCCTTGGGCAGGAATCAGCATCCTTAGGGTAGGGATAAGCATCATTAGGGCAGGAATCAGCATCCCTTGGGCAGGAATCAGCATCCCTTAGATCGAGATCTGGGACCTCCATGAGAATTTGCAATGCCAGGCAGCTCAATGTCATAATTAAAAATGGGGTTAAGCTTCCTTAAATAACTTGATTAAACAAAATTGCCTTTCTGGGCCAGGCTGCAGGCCCTGGGCTGGTGTAGCTCTGTCCAGTTATTGGAATAAGCCAGGGCAGGATCCATCCTGATGTTCCTGGATTTATTTATAGCTCAGCCCTGGCAGAAACGGGGCTGCTGCCCTGTGGGCTCTGTCCTCTGGAGAGCACAGGGAGCACTGAGAAGAGGTTGTGCAATTAGCACGACCTCATTTCAGAGGAGCCTTTTAGGGACCTTAATCAATTAGTCTGGGGCAGCCCTGAATGAATCCTGGATCCATCTGGATCCCTCTGGATCTCGGTGCCTCATGCCCTGGGAAAGTGCTGAGGACATCAATAAATCCCCAGAATATTTCAAAATCAGTTTTTATCCATAAGAAAAATCAGCTCCCTACTTGCAGTCCAAACTCCTCCATGGACTCCCAGCAAGGAGGAGGAGGAGGATTTGCAAACCTTAGAAATCCCCCACAAAAATCCACCAGCAGATGGGCAAATCCTGCCCTGGATCTTCCAATTGAGCCAATAAATCCCTAATGAGAGGTTTTTCCTTTGCATCCCTTGCTGCTTTGGCCGGTGGAAGGGATTTAGTGGAAGCCCAGGCCTGGGAAGTGTCTCACCCTTGAGGATGAGGAGCTGATCCCGGTGCAGCTTCCTGGAATGAGTCTGGAAGCTGCTGAGTCAGCTGCTTTTGAGGCTTCCCCAGAGGAGAGGAGGCACAAATCCATTTCTCAGCAAAACGAAGGCAGAGAGAAGCTGAATAAACAAACCTGGTTTTGATTTGTGGGCGACTGACAGCTCCCCGTGCTCAGCTGGCCCCTGGGAGAGGCACTGGAAGGTTCTGGATGCTCCAAGGTGTTATTCCATCCTGCTGGGATGGAATAATCCTGGTTTATCTCAGCTTCATCCCCACCCATAACGGGGTTTAAATTCAGCCCCGTGCATCTCATTTGCTGCTTCCTTAAAGAGTGGAAAAGGGTGAAAATCCATTTCCACGGGGCTGGAAAAGAGGATGGGCAACTCCACCCGGGATCTTGGGGCACCCAACCTCTGCCAGGGCAGCAATTCCAGGCTTGCACTGCAGGACAGGTTTGAGGGATGGCAGTGCCCAGGGTGCCCAGTGTCCCTGGGGGCTGCACTGGTGTCCCTCAGGGTTGCACTGGTGTCCCTCAGGGTTGCACTGGTGTCCCTCAGGGTTGCACTGGTGTCCCTGGTTGGTGCTGGAGAGGATGTGGAGCTGCAGGAACAGCTCTGGGATGGAGGGACATGAGGCTTTCTGCTGTTCCCTGCACCCAGGTGGGTGGCTTTTGGTGACAGCAGGTCCAGGGAACCTCCATGCCCTCGGTCCTGTGTGCCATAAATCCTGCACCTCATGGATTGGGATTTTTACCCCATCCCCCGGGTCTTTCACTGCGTTTCCAGGCTCGGCAGAACATTCCAGCATTCCCAAGGGTGCCCAGAGGGGTGCAGAACCTGCTGTCCCCACGTCCCGTGGCGTGGGACCGAGGTCAGTCCCTGCGTCATGGGGTCACCCCACTGATGTCACCGCCCCTCTGTTTTCAAGCCCTATTCTTTCCCGGTCCCTGTGATAAGAAATGTTAATGAGGGGATGAAATTGGATATTCCCCGTCGCCTTCTCCTCCTAATGGAATTCTGGTGGTGGTTAATTTGCTGGTTTTAATGGGCCCATTGTTCTCCCGGGCTGGGGGAGCCTCGGGAGGGTGTTTGGCCCTGCTCGGATGGGAGGTGGTGCCTGAGGACAAGTGGACCTCGGGGCACAATAATTGCAGAGCAATTTGAAGACAAGCCCCAAATCCATAATTGATGGGCCCTTCATTCATGCCGCTCCCGGACCTGTTCCCACCTCTCCACGCGCAGAGGGATGGATAAACCTGGATAAAGCAGGGAAATTATGGAGGATTTCACTGCTCAGGGAGGTGGGTTGGGTGTGGGGTGATGCTCAGCCGGGCTGGGATGAGGATTTCGGCTCCCGGTGGGGTTATACTGATGCAGAGCCGGGTTTTCCATTGATGGGATGAGGATTTCAGCTCCTGGTGGGGTTATACTGATGCAGAGCCGGGTTTTCCATTGATGGGATGAGGATTTCGGCTCCTGGCGGGGACGGTGGTGATGGATGCAGGCAGGGAAGCATTCCCCAATCCCGGCTGGACCCGCATCCTGGGAAACGCCCCCAGCTGTGCTTCGGCTCTGGGGGGGACAGGGAGGGGCTCCCCAACCCTGGCACTGCCAGCCGGGGGGAATTTCCCAACACTGCAGCTCCCAGGGCTGGATCCCTCCCCTGGGCTGCGGGCAGGGGGATGGATCACAGCGGGTCGTAGCCCAGCGAGGCTGGCGGATCGTTCCCTGGTGGATCATTCCTGGCGGATCGTTCCTGGTGGATCATTCCCTGGTGGATCATTCCTGGCAGATCGTTCCTGGTGGATCATTCATTCCCTGGCGGATCGTTCCCTCCGTTCCCTGCTGCCCCAGCACTTTCCCGAGCAGCCGCCGGAAGGCCAGGCTGGGGACTGTCCCCGTTTGCTTCATTAGTTTGGGTGACAAAAGTGTGTCACCACTGTCCCCCGGCCACGCCGCGGGCTGGGCTGGCAGCGGGGTTCGGGCAGTGGGGCTGGGGGCAGGGTGGGACCCCTGGGGACACCGTGGTGGGTGACAGTGGCAATGGGGACAGGGGGTGGCCACTCCTTCACCCCAGTGCTGATGCACGGGGCTGGATCCGGGGGATGCAGGGAATGGCGTTCTCGGATGGTTCCTGCATCCATCAGCTCCCAATCCCCCAGCCCCTGCTGGAACTGGGAGCACCGGTGTCCATACTGGGAGCACCGGTGTCCACACTGGGAGCACTGGTGTCCATACTGGGAGCACCGGTGTCCGTACTGGGAGCACTGGTGTCCATACTGGGAGCACCGGTGTCCGTACTGGGAGCATTGGTGTCCATACTGGGAGCACCAGTGTCCGTACTGGGAGCACTTGTATCCGTACTGGGAGCACCGGTGTCCGCACTGGGAGCACTGGTGTCCGTACTGGGAGCACTGGTGGCCGCCCTCCCCACCGCCTGTGAGCCCCCGGCAGCCGGGAGCCCCGAGCCGAGCCCATTATGTGCTCCAGACAATTAGCAGAAGCATTAATGGAATATATGCAAATGAGCAGTAATTGACCTGTGACTCCGCAGTTCATGATGGAGAAGGATGAGCTCCAGATGGCTTAATGAGAGTAATTTAAGCCCCTTCTTTATATGCTGTGCCAGAGCCTGGCAGCGCCCAGGCGGGGAGGGGAGGAGGGGGGTGGCACTGGGGACACTGGGGAGCAGGGACAGCCCTGGGGATGCTCCCTTTGCTCCCCAAACCACCCCGCATCCAGCTCCCACCCCAACCCCGGCAAGGTGGATTTCTCCTGGCTAAGGGAAAGCCAGAAAATCCTGGCCAGGGAGTGCAGGAGAGCAGCCAAAACCCCCCCAGGACCACCGGGCTGGGGGCTGCTCTCCCAGCACAGCATCCCCCTCCCTGGCCATGCCACATCCTGCACATGGGAAACCCAAACCGCTGCTACTCCGAGGTTACTCAGCCTTTACTCCAGCTGTGTTGGCTCCGAGCGGGGCTGGGGAGGGCTGGTTTGGGGTTGTGCCTTTCCCCTGCCCTGCCCCAACCTGTCCAGCCCTGAGCTCCACAAAATTCTCCTCAAAATAGCCGGAGGTATCTGAATAACCACTCTGGGAAACCAAATTAAAATATTGATGTATAATTCATGCCATATGTTCCACCAATATTTTTTATTTAATCAACTGAAGACAGATGGCAGGAACATAGAGGCCATTAAACTAATGGCACTTTGTCTTTCCATTTATTTCCGTCTCCTTTCTGAAAATAAGATGAGACCGTGACAGGCAGCACAGCCACTGGGATGTGTCAGCAGGGGCATTTCCCACGTGGAATTTTCCCAGGAAGGGCTGGAGCAAATCTTCTATAGCTGGGAGGTTGGAAAGAGAGAAATCCAGCTGGAATTGGAGAGAAATCCAGCTGGAATTGGAGAGAAATCCAGCTGGAATTGGAGAGAAATCCAGCTTAGTGGGGCTGGAGGGGACTTCCCATCTCTGCCCTTCCCGTGCCAAGAGCCACCAGGGATGGTCCTGGTGTTCCTGGGACAGCACCCTCCTGGTGGCAGGGTGGGAATGGGAATGCTCTTGGCTGAAGGTGGAGGGTGTCATGGCAATCTCCTGTCCCTGGGGACTGGAGGGACACCCAGGGATGCTCCTGACCCCATGGGATGCTGGAATGGTCACTGGCAGCACCCCACTGTTCATGCGTGGATTTCATTTGGGATCTGATGCTGCAGAGATGTTTGGATCTAGGGGTGCAAGACTGTGTGTGTGCACAGCTCAACCTCCTGGGGGTGAAACTGGGGTGAAACTGGGAATTTTCCACATCCCAGAGCCATCCTGGAGCACCTCTCCTGCACAGCGAGGCAGAGGCTCTGGGATTTGGGCTCACCCCACCAGCATCGCTGCCACTGCACCCAGTTACCCACCTGGGAGAGGTGGAGCTGCCCCTCTCCAGGGCTGGAAGGTGATGGAGAGCGCGGGTGGCCTTCCTCACCCCCTGGAGGGACAGGGCCACCACCCTCCCGTGTGCTGGGACGCTTTCCTGAGTGTGCCTCTCTCTTTGACTTGCAGGTGGAGATTTCCTGCCCTGGGAGTGAGCTGAAAGGGGTTTCCTTACACAAAAGGGTGCCAGGCAGCATTCCAGGCTCCAGGCGATTCCAGGCACTTTCCATTCTTTGTCTGAAAGGGCAGCGGGGCCGTTCCCATCCCAGCGATGCCTGACCGAGCCGGTGCCGCCGGGAGCGAGGAGCTGCGGCAGCTGCTCGGCTTTCAAATCACCTTCAAACCCCGATTTCCTTAACATGATCCCTCCATCAGCGCAGTCCCCGGGGCACAGCCGGGGGACTTTGCCGGCAGGAGAATAAACCGGGGCTGGAGGTGGCAGCCGGCGCTGGAGCACCCCGGCCACCGCGCGGGGACTCAAAATCCACCTTCCCCAGCACTCCAAGACTTTTTAGGGTCGGGCAAACAGCTTTGCACGAGCTCACCCTGTAGCCCTCACCCCTTTTTCTCGCCGGGATTCACCTCCAACCCGGGCGGGATAATCCCCTCCTCGGAGCATCCCTGGAGCCGCAGAGCAGCTTCCCCGCGGCGCCGGCTGCCGGGGAAGGGATGAAGACGCTATGGCCAAACTTTTGCTAAAACTCCAGCGGTATTTTCGGCGCAAACCCGTGCGTTTCTTCACTCTGCTGGCTCTGTACCTGGCGGCCGGCAGCTTGGTTTTCCTGCATTCCGGCTTTTCCGGGGAGCCCACGGTGCCGGGGAGCCCGCGCAGCCCCGCGGCCGCCGAGGGGCCGGGGCTGCCCTACCTGGGGGTGATGCAGCTCAGCCGCGGCTTCAAGGCGGCAGCCACCATGCCGGCAGGAGGCCGAAGACACGGTCCCTGGTTCAAAAGCACCTCCAAGGAGCCGGCGGACAGGGGAAAATCCCGGGATAACGGCGGCGCTCGGAGCCGGGCGCTCAGGGCCAGGAGCGGCCGCGAGAAGGAGGAGGACAGAGGTGAGTGCTGTCCCAAGGAGGAAGATTTCTCCTTTTGCCTCTCCCAGAGGGACATCGTGAGTTGGGGCAGCGGTGTCCGAGCTATTTGGGGTTGTGCATCCTTGCTACATCCCCCAGGGAAATGTGTATTTGATTATTTATTTATAAATCACGTGCACACGCCGCTGGTGCAGCGAGATTTTCTTCCCATATCCCACGGGAATGCTCTGGGGAGCAGCACCCTACTGTGGGGAACATCAGCCCAGAGAGTATTTCCACAAGGATCTTCTCCCTCCTTCTTCCCTTTTCCAACTCCTCCCTCCCCAAGTGCCAACCATGTGCTTTTATTTTTCCATCTTCACTCTTTTCCCTCCGAGCTCTGAGCTCCCCCTTGCTGTTGCAGATGATTTTGGGGGTGGCAGCTGGGGGGATGCTGTGCCCCATCTTCCTCCCACCCTTTGGCTCTGCCAGGGGCCAAATTCAGTTTTCATTCTGTTGGCTTGAATCAACACAAGGTCCAGGTTTGTGAGGGTGTTGTGTTGAGGCAGGGCCTGGCTGTGATTGCCATGGAAGTGCAGACAGGGCTGGGCTGTGGCCTCTGGAGCCAGGAGATCCCTGCCTGGCTGGGGGCTTGTCAAGTGGCTCCATTATTAATGATCAAGGATAAGAAAATAGAATCATTCCTATTGATTTTTTAAAATGGCATTTATTTATCCTGGAGGCAGCCAGAGCTGTGCATTCTGTGGGATTCGGGTGGCTGGACTCCAGCAGGAACCCCCAAAACCCACAGCACACTGGGGCTTTCCCAGGGGTCCAGGCTTGATCCCCCCAACCTGGGCTGCTCCCAGGGCATGGAGGGTTCCTCCTCCTCCAGCAGGATGTGGTTGTGTTCATTCCAGGAATGATGCAGGGTCCAGGCATGGAAGCCAAAGGAAAAGTGGTGCTTACGGGATTTTGTCCTGCTAGAAGGAGCTAAAGGGGTTCCTCCATTGTGACCCCACTCCGAGGGGTCTCTGAGGTGTTTTGGTGGCCACGTGTCTCCAACAATGCAAACTGACTTCAGAGCAGCCTCAGCAGATGGTCCCTGAGCCTGGGCTGTCTGTCCCTATAAAGACCCCAAGCAGTGCCCGTGTCCCGGGCCATATGTCCCGTGTGCTCCAAGATTAACCTCACCCACACTGCCAGCAGGGATGGGATGCTGGGCTTGGCCTTCGTGGCTTTATCTGCTCCCAGCTGCTCTGGGAATATCATTTTCCCCTTGGAGCATCTTGGCAGCTCCGGAGTGGGATGGTGTGGAGAAATTCAGCAGCCTGAGAAATCCCACGTGCCCGGTGTTCCTGGCGTGGCTGTGGAGCTCCCCCTCACTTCCCTGCTCCTCTGGAGCACTGGGGTATCTGGCAGGAACAGGTGGATTTTATGGTGTTGGTAATTAAGTGGGGACAGCTTTAACGAGGTGGCTGCGGAGGCTCTGCCACGTGAAACCATTCCAGAGGGAATACTGCTCCAAAAATCAGCTCTGCTTTAGAGCGTGATGTGCAGCTCCCTCTTCCTCCTCCTCCTCCTCCTCCTCCTCCTCCCCCCTCTCCCGGCAGTGTCAGGTGAAGGTGTGGGTGGAGAACAGCCCTGTCTGCCAGGGAGAGGCCTCATCCCCATGGGAATGCAAATCCTGGTGGGAAGGGGCATCTCTGCCTCCTGCCAAGGAGGGATTTTAGGCAGGGAAGCCAAGGGAAGCAGGAACAGACCCCAGCCCTCAGCCATGTCCATCTCTGGTGCCTTCCTGGACAAGTCCAGCCATTCCCACCACGCAGTTCCATGAGGATGGAGGGACCAGCCACCCCAGGCAGACAGCTGGAGCCATCCCTATATCCCCAGCTCTGGAAAAAATGGGATGCTTGGGGAATTTAATGGCAATCACTGGGTGGATGTGTGTGTCTGCTCACAGCTGTGTTTGCAGCAGGCTCCAAAATTCCTCCTGGACAGGTCCACCTCTCCCTGCAAACTGCCAGTCCCACCCTCCCCCTTCTCTTGTGTCCTCGTCTGTCCCTAATTATTCCGGCTGGCTTCCCAAAAAGTGGCAGCACGCATGTGTCAGGAGCATTGGATTGAAGGTAATGCACATCAGCCACCAGCTCCGTGCAAGTGGCTGGAGCCATCCCACACCCACTGGAATCCTCTGAGCTGCCAGGACCTGCTCATCCCTGTGGGAATGCCGTGTGGAGTCACTGGGAGTTATGGCTCTGGAGTGATCTGGCACATTTCTCTCCATCCTCCTCCTCTTCAGCCCCCAGGCTGGCTTGGGAAGGTGGCCCCAGCGCTGGTGGGTCTGTGCTGTGCTGGGATAACTGGGAATGAGGGGGTCGGTGCTTGGGGCACACCATGGATGGGCTGAGCTGGGTCAGGGAACCCAAGGAGGTGTGAAAAGCAGGGAGGAGGTGAGAAATGTTATCCCAGAGTGTGGCTTGGAATTGGAATGGCACCCTGAAAGAAATTCCTTCCTGTGAGGGTGGGGAAACCCCAGCTGGAAGTGTCCAAGGCCAGCTTGGACAGGGCTTGGAGCAACCTGGGATAGTGGAAGGTGTCTCTGCATGCCTTGGACTCAGAGTTTGCAAAGCAAACAAACAGGGAATGCTGCTGCACATCCCCCTTTAGGGAAAAATCAAGAGGGGTGGGATCAGTGGGTTGTGACCCTGTCCCCTCTCTGTCCCCAGCCCGGTACATCGGCTGCTACGAGGACAACACCCGGCAGAGGACCCTGCGCGGGATGTCCTTCTTCGACTACAAGAAGATGACGGTGTTCCGCTGCCAGGACAACTGCGCCGAGCGGTAGGGACGGTGCCGGGGGCTCCGTGGATCCCGGCACGCTCCATCAATCCCTGCACACGGGCTCCAGCAGTCCTCCCCCACCATCTCCAGGAGTCCCTGTGCATCTCCATGAACCCCTGTGCTCCATCAATCCTTCCCCACCATCTCCAGGAGTCCCTGTGCATCTCCAGGAGTCCCTGTGCTCCATCAATCCTTCCCCACCATCTCCAGGAGTCCCTGTGCTCCATCAATCCTTCCCCACCATCTCCAGGAGTCC